CTCCTGGTATCTCGCCAGCTCATTTGACCACCCATCTCCAATCTTAGCAGACGGCGATCTTATCATCATCTGACCCTCGCCGTAACAGTGCGTGCCTCTTGGTTTTCGGCTCTGATTGCGAAGCCAGTTGGTACACAGTAGACATGCTCAATTTTTGTTTGGGGGATTTCGAGCATTTGCGTAATTGCTTCTCTAACACCGAAAGGTGAGAGTGTTCGCCAGGGATGTTCTTTTTCGAGGCGGAGAAACAAACGTTCGTCTTGCACGGCCGGTTTTGTTGGCCCGGTTGAATTTTGGGCCATTCGAGTCGAGTTTGCCGCCTTGGGCATTGTCTGCGCGGCTTTTGTAGGTGCCGGGAGCGTTTGTAGACCATTACGGGTGATCAAGGCCCAAGTGGTTTTGGCCTGGCGCACTTCGGCTTGAGCCGCTTCGCGATGTGACTCACTTTGCTTACCAGCAGCATATTCTGCGGTCATGCAACTAGTAGCCTGGCTTTCGGGGCGTGGGGGAAGTGATGGGAGGACTGTACCTGGTCCCGCAATCATAAATTGAGCTATTGCAGCTCTTATGTAGACTTTCATAGAGTCTATAAATTGAACACTCGACCCCTTGGATAGGGGGGACAGAGCATTCTCGACACCGTTTATTGCAGCGGTGCAAATTTTTACATTTTCCGCAGTTTTTGCGGCCCCGCGTTCCTCAGCCTCAATTAAGGCTCTGAGTTCGGGGAGGCATTCCTCCATTTGCCTGCCTTCATTTCCACTGTGAGGAGAAGGATTCTCTTCTGTGGTTCCTGGTGTATGTTCCAGGGGGCTCGGGGTAGATGCTGCACCTTTTGCCTTGTTAGCATCTGCAATCGCAGCCTGCCTCATAGCTGGCACAGCGACTTCAATGAGAGGAAGTATGTGCTGTCCGGTAGTTGCTGTCCCTAAATTGTTGCGACTCGTCGCTGCATTTTCAGCTCCGGTCGCATCTGGCTTGGAGTGAATTGAGTTAGTGTTATATTAACTAGGCTATATGGGAGCAGGACCATGGATACTCTTTGGGAAGTTAAGCTCACAGTAGGTCTATATAGTCGCTGTCGCGTGTGTTCTCGTGATATGTAAGACTTGACTCTATATTCTCGTAAAAAGGAAACTTAGTTACAAATGAATGGATGGAGTTTGAGACCTCCTTATATCTTGCTCCAGACTTACTGTGTTGTTCACAGCCTAGTGCTAGAACATTCCCTTATGATATCATTTCTCTCCTACGAGAAACGATCAGCTCGTTCTCTCTCAGTCTATCAGTCTCCGGCTGATTCCATTATCTCTATTCCATCGAGTTCTAGTTTGGTCCAGTATACCCACACATGCATTACACACTAAACATCCCACGTTTTAGTTCCACAGTCACGTGCATATGCTATGACGCGACCTAAAGCATGTACCATGGTAAGTTACATGGATAACACAACAGTTAGGTAGTCTTTTCAGATTCTTAAGAATCTTGTCAATGTCAAAGTTGCCAACATCTATCATATCGCAATCTATGGTACTTTTGTCGATTAATTGGTCGATGTTCATCTCTTGAATGGCAGTCAGTGGACCCAACTTGACGCTTGCTTTCTGTCGAGCAACGTGTTTGAGGTGCTTACGGTTATCTATGATGTCTTTCGCCCGTGATGGCTTACTGCGAACTGGGGATATATTGGTAGCCTACCAGTTGCTCACAAATTTTGAATGAAGGGCGTACGATATTACAATATCAAGAGAGGGAGGGAGAGGGGTAAAAAGGGAAGTTTTGAATTTCGAATTTCAAAAAATTGTGGGTGTGTGTGTGTGTGTATTATTGTACTACTTGAGTCTATGACTATCTTGTCATAGGCTAGAGCCTAAGGCAGCCAAGGCTTGGGCTTGGGTGACTGATCTGAGCTGATACCAATCAGGTGACTATTTAGTTGCTCTATTTTGGTATAGTCTGGTAACAGCACAGACCACCTTTCAATGTATATAAGGAAGACTTTTCCTCTTCCATCTTCTTTCTTTAGTTTAAGATCTTCTATACACAGCACACAGTACAATTCGAATACAATTCTACTTCTAGCCCCTACATATCTTGCATATTGGGCTCCTCTCTGACCCAGGCCACACCTGGTACAGTGCTCCTATCCTCTTTTGTGACTTGAAAGATCATTGATATATTCCCCTTGATGAATAGCCATTCAGCTCAGTATCTACCCGTGGAATTTAGCCACCTTTTCCACAGAACCTTTTACCCAAAAAAAAAAAAATGGTAGCAATGGAAACTGCGTGCACAGGAAAAAGTCTCAGAAAACCTGCAGCACTAGCCAGGCGAGGCCTAGACATCGGGACCACATGAGGTGCGCATATTCATCCATATCTCCCTTCTTTGTAACAGTCGAGGTCGACTTGATTCAATCCACCATCTCCGTATCGGGTGCTGGGTACGCTCCGGAAACTCATCGGATGGCTTTTCCTCGATGATCAAGGGTTGGTGATGAGTAGGGCTCCAAAACTACCATCTGATCTGATCGTGGTTAGCTTCATGATATTGGTGATAGGAGAATAGGTTGAGAGATGAGGACGATACAGATGGCGAAAGCGATTGAGAATCCTGGTCGAAGTGAGGACTTTGTTATTCAATCTCGGCTCTGCAGACTCTACAGTGAGAGCTGGAGATTTGTAGGGGACACCACTGACAGGTGATGAGAATAGTCTCCCAACAGTATATGGAAACTAAATCAGAACCCTTCGCCTGTGTCAATCGGGCTACACTTGATCCTGGATGTCCGAATAAGAGGCATTTTCTGGGTCTGGCATCCAAAGTCTTAACACATTTCAAAAATCCCAATAAGCTTACGAGTTTCGACTGACTTGTCAGAAACTGCCCACAGCTTCCTCTCCCTGCGCATTATCGCTCGTCAGGCGGTGAGAAATGAGCTAACAACGTAAGGTGCATGTGCAACCTTTCCACACAAATTGTACTTGTGCTGACTCCAAATTTGGGGGTTCGACTTCAGCAGGAAATACTCATGCATAACTCCTGTACGATGTCGACCATTAATATTCCCAATCGAACGAACGGAAGCGAGTCCACGCGAAACCGCTCGAACATTTTTATCAATGCAAAAATGATTGTGCAGATCATCATTTGATACTATTTTCATAACTCATCATGATGATTTGTCCATTCTATTGAACCTAGACTGGTATCTGAAGCTGGGATAAATGTGATGCATCAACAACGTTTTTCTATTTGCATTTGCAAACTTCCTGGCCATTTAATGGATCTGAATCCAGATTCAATCAAACTAGAAAAGGATAATTACTTGTAGGGATACTAATGCCAACCAAATCTTGACAGTTTTATTGCGCTAGTGTCGATCAACAGTCGGAGTTTAATTGACAGGCCAACTAAACAATTGTGTAAAGCTTGTTCAATCACGAAATAACCTAGAGTATAATGACACAAATTTACATTATATAACTCGGGGCCGATCAAGACATTCTCTAAGCTACACAACATTATTAAACATCCCCTGCTGAATTACAATCCTCATTTGGGTTGGATGGTGCAGTGGTATACCATCCGGGCCGTTCTCCCAAGTAGATAATGGGTAGCTTGAACACCTACCCCATTCGAGACAGGAGAAAGCTGGTTCGAATCCAGTCGGACCCACACACCACTCTCTCTCGCGGTGATATTGTACTTGTGGGATGATGAAAGCACACTTGGATAGCCACAGGCTTTTCACGCTTTTTCCTGTGGTGGGTATGCACGCAAGAGGTTATACGCCGTAAGGGTTAATCTCGAGTGGTATCTGCAAATGAAATCTGAGTGTGAGTGTTCTAAACGTCAAATTGAGTCATCCTACTTCAAGTACATATCTTCCGATAAAAACCTGCATGGGCCTCAAGGCGCCAAATCAGGATAATAAATAATGAATGAATGAATCCTCATTCACATCCTCTGCTGTTATAATTAGACTTTTATCTTAACTTTCACCTCAACCACAACTGTAACATGTCTTTAACTGAAGACGTTGTAGATCACCTACAGGAAAAGCCGCTTTTCAGTATTTTAGAGCCGTTCCGTGACATCTATAATTTGAACTTTAATGATGCAGATGACACTGTCTTCGAAATCCAATAGGTGAGGTTGCATCAAGAGCACCAATCAAATATTTATGGACTCTATTAAGTCTTTACATCAGTCAAGGAAATTTTGTCACTTCCGAGATAAGAAATCTTTTCTCTCGAATGACTCGTATTCAATACTGGCTGACTTCTACATCGTTCGACTTGGCTCCATTTCAACCACTAGCAAAGACAATTTTAAACTACAGTTCAGATGTCGAGGTTTGGCAATATCTCATGCATCTTGTTGATACGCTTGAAACAATGATCAAAGGCTCCACCGATCAACCAAAGAAATTGGCGGCAGACTCGATTTATAGGCGTGCTGGAGCACCACTTGATCGAGCCGGAAAGACAATGGAAGAACTCAAGGAATCAATGCGCCATGAACTGTCTGGATCGGTTTTTATGAATGTGAAAGGTTTCTGGAAAAAATACTTTGAAAAGCCAAAGTGGTCGAAGCACTGCAAAGTGCTATCAAAAGAGTATGAGGCTCGCTCTGCAGAAGAAAAGCTAAAATTTCCTGAGGATCCCGCGGAGGCGGATGTGTGGAGATGGATAAAGGCTTTGGAGGAGGAGATTATCAAATCTTCTGTCCGCACTTGGACGAAATCGGCAAATGAGAAAGGAAAGATGGCCAGAAGTAGATTCATGCACTCCATTGAAGCCACACAATGTCACACATTAGCCAAAGGACAAATCTAAGGAGGTCAAACCGATCGACAGCTTGATTATTTTATCAAGCGAAATAATCTCCCTACTGGTGACGGCTATCACTGGCGCGACGTACTTGTGGTAGGAGAGCTGACGAAGCTACCAACGTCAGCGTTTTTGGACAAGTTTCTCCAACTTTGTGTTTACATGAGTGAAGTCTTCTTGGCCCAGCCACTACATCATTTTGTTCACGGGTTCATACTTTTCGGAACTCAACTTCAGCTTTGGGTATTCAATCGGTCAGGGCCTTACTGTGAGTCGATCATTGATATTGGAAAATCCCCGAAAAAACTAGTCCACGTGCTGGCTGCTTACATGATGATGAGCGACAAAGAGCACGGGATAGACTCAAACATCCGATATGACGATGACGAGATCATCATCAAGATGAAGATTCCAGGGTCAAACGTCATGCAGGAGTTCTCTCTTGATTTGAAGCCGTTGGTATGTCAGTCGGCGCTTGTCTCCAGGGGCACAACTGTTTACTCCTCTATTGATAAAAAATATGTGGTAAAGTTCTCGTGGAAGATTTGTGGGAAAACATCCGAGGTGGAATTGCTCAAGGTTGCAAAGGATGTTGTAGGCATGGCAAAGCTCATCGGATGGCGCGATTTGGTACAGACAAGCACGCTCCGAATGGGACTTACTTTCACCCAACTCATGGTGAAGTGCACACGACCGGCTGAAAAGGTATTAACCACGCCAGTCGTTTTAAGCGGGAATTCTGTTCAATACCTAAAGAAGAGTACAAGTAAAGCTAAATCTCGCAAACGGAAGAGCGAGCCAGAACAGGCAGGAGCCATAATTGAGTCAGTAAGTAAGCGAACACGAAGTGGAACTAAGGGTCAGTAAACATTTGATATCAAAATTGGAAGATAAACTTATAAGTTTATGATTATAGAAGTACCTCGAAGTGACCCTGTAGTCGAAATTAGATCACGACCAACTGGAATAGTCGTTGAATCAGGAAAGACCATTCAAACCAATGAAAGCCTTGACGTTCCCCAAAGTCCGCAGAGACGTAGCAGTCGCATCGAGGAACTGCGAATTAGTCAATCGGTTGGTGGAAAGCGAAAGATCCAGGAAGACGTAGATGTCAATGATCGTCTCAAAAGAGTCCATCTTTCCAGTCATAGAGAAGAAGCGACAACTGATGAAAATGATGGATCAAACTCTTCTCTTGGGAGTGAATCTAATCACACAAGTACGACCGAAGCGAGTGAAGAATCGATGATGTCGTTCACGAGTGATTTCATCCCATCTGGATACAAGATTGAAAGAGCGGAATGTGTCAACATACGGAAGCGCCAGCAAGCAGCGGTTGCAATATCGCCAATCGGGAAACCAATCAATGATTTCAACACGCCGCCAGAGGTAGTAATGGGGCTACGCGACGCCATTAAGGCTCATAGATCTCTTTTTACCGATGCCAAAATATTGCATCGAGACATTTCGGTGAATAACATCCTCCTGAAGATCTGTGACGACCCTAAAGATTATGGAGGCATTCTGATCGACCTGGACCTTGCAACTTTGTTCAAGGACGGCAAGGCACAAGGGAAACTGGAAGCGATGACGGGAATCATGCAATTTATGACACTGGAAATCCTGAAGAACAGCTTCGCAGCACCTAGGGCTGTAGTATTACACTCATATCGGCATGATCTTGAGTTGTTTTTCTATGTCCTGTTGTGGATATGCATGCGCTATGGATGGCCGGTTAGTAAGTCACCGCATTTGGACTTTTTAAGAAAGTGGTACTCAGGGACTGCCGAAGAGATCTACAAGAACAAGAAAACACAGATGAAACTCGAAACATTTGGAGAAGAGGTCTATGAACGGATTCCACCTACTTTCAAAGTAACTGAAAATCTTGTTCGAAAACTCTGGAAAATCTTATTTTGTAAGGGCGAAGATATTGCAACGGGTACCACTCATGACCCTGATACTTTGTACTGCCCGATAATTATGGCATTCGAAAAACCATCTTGAAGCTAAAGTCGTAAGATAATTCTATGTGTGATGGCATCGCCTTTCTTTTTCATGCGAGGAGATCACAAGATTGAGAAATGTTTTGGATTGTAATTGAAACAAATGCCACGGATAAATACAGCTAGAAACAGCCAAATGCTGACAACATCTTTAATAGTATTCAATCCGATTCCTGAAAGTTGATGGGACATAACTCAACAAAATAAATGCAAAACCGTAACTATTGTCAGAAATGGGCCAGGAAGTTTTTTGCAAAATAACCCCAGCTGATACCTGACTTAATCATAATGCACCATATTCTTATGATCAAAGAAGAAGCCGACTTTACTCTGTGTTTAAATAAGCGTCAGAAAATTGCCTGAAACCTAAAATAACTTTTGCTTGATGAGAACAAACAACCTTACCCTCGAAATACTCCGGTATACAATGAAATCTATGTGGGAAAAACTCTGGTCATAAATATAATCATGAGGTCGAGCTTTGAGGTCAGAAGGTAAGATTGGTGTCTATTTAAAACAAAGAATCGGTTTTCGGTTTTTCATGTGAAGACTCTGCTGCGGAACTTTTTCTGACTTAAATTATGGAAGATATGAAGACAGTCTATAACTGACGTGTGGACTGAATGTCACATTAAGAAGTATCAGATGTCTGATGGTAAAAGCGATAGGAGGGCAGTGCTTAGATGGACTAGGTAGAAGAGAAATGCGTTAGATTGAGAGCCAAAGTGTCTAAATTTAAAGAAGGAAGTGGCATGCATAGTGAATCTAATAGTGCAAGTTAGCTCTCTAGAAGTTCTTTGAATCGGGAAAGTGTACTAATGTTAGCTAAGAACCTGTATTGAATTTAAACATCTTCATTTGCATTCATGCCAGTCTATTAAATCTGGCAAACGTTTCATGTCAGTAAATATGCGTTATCTAATAGTTACATCTTAATGTAGAACAATTTTAAACGTAATAATTTACACACTTCATTTTAGCGGAGGCATAGCAGGTTATTGCATGATTAAAATCAACTTTAGAAATGGTCCAATTCTGTAACAGTTGTAGAGACTAAATAAAATTGAAACTTATTTCCACTCACTACTTATTGGGTATGTACGTAAGAAGGCGTTTACCACGGCTTTACGTATATTGGAGTTCTGAAACTTGAAGACAATCAGGTCTACACCTAACACAAAGTTGATACACATCTGGACTAGATCCCGTCAAAGTTAGCTTGGTAAACATGGACCTCAGAAGGGTTCATTGCTTGAATATAACCTCACATTAAACTCCTCCAGCTTATTGAACCTTTGTCGTCGAGTCATAGAGATGAGGTAGAAGGTTATGGGTCACGGTGTATGAGATAACTGAGATATGGATGTTTGAGAGAGAGAGTTTATTTATTGTGCCAGGCTAACACCCTCCATCCAATGGACGTGACACGCATGGAGGACATCTAGAATACAAGTTCCTCCATTCTCCAGCAAAGCCCATCCGGTGCCTGACTTTTCCAAATACGTGCCCCACGCTAGTTACATCGGGTCGAATAGGTAGGAACGCATTCAACATGATCCTAAGATCATGTATTGAGGGAAAACCTCAATAATTCCTCTTGTACTCTTTCACGACGAGCAGCCGTAGTCCCCCCTTAAACAGGCCGTGTAGGAATCCAACCTACCATTTCTAGAAAGCACATCCAGCACCCGATCAACTGTGCCAACAGCCTGTTGAAAATCACCTATTGTTCTTCCCAAATTCTCCCCTGCATTGCGCTCAACCCCCATTTAAGAGGGCTGAAATTCCGAAATCGAGAGCTCAAAGCCGAGGCATCGGTGCCCCAGCTTTTGTCGTACATTTTTCGTTGTCTGAGTGAGGCTTCTTCGCTCGCGCCGTCTTTGGAATGTGTCGAAAAGTTGAGAATTTTGATGTTGCAGTCGAGGTGCTTGTCTAAAATGAGGCCGAGCAATTGCTCAGTCCTGCACACAATGTTAGTAAGGTTGAAAGCGAAAGTAATTTTACCTTTGATTTTGGAGGATTGTTGGTGAGTCTTAAAATCCTCCCAGTCAAACTCAATTGTGAAGTTGTTGGAAGACTGATTAGAAGAAACCTGTTGGAAATACAGTTTCCTGCTTTTCTTTCTATCGACCAATGTGGTTGCATGCATCTTGCCTGAACTATATTTCTGAGTTCGGGCAGGATCCCACATTTCTGATCCAATCGGACTCAACGTTAGAGTCTGCTTGAATCCCATTCTTCCCGAACAAATCCAGTCATTGGTTTGTTCGTACTTCTATTGCGTGACCCAGTATTCTCAGTCAGTGGATAATTATTTTCTGGTACGGGGTCCCACTTATTTATGCAGTCGAGTCGGTTCCGGGTAACCTCTATTTCTTATAATTCCACTGTATATATCATAATACCTGTAGTCTATTAGTAAATTAAGCAAACTGAACTTCTTCTCTGTTCTCAGGCAATTCTTACTCCGAAGTCTTCTCTATACTCTAACAAAACCCAAACTTAAACTTTTGATCTATTGTGCCAGGAACGGAACCTAGCCCATGTGTCAATCGAAATCGACTGGGCCACGCTCAGCAAGCTGCCGTTGCGAAGGTCATAATGTGAGATTTTGTATATGATTTCATTTAGCCCGATTTGGCACCCTTAAGTCCCACGCATGTGTCTATCATACTTTCTAGAGAGTGAGTGTTTATTGTCCTAAAAAGTCTACAACTATGTAAGGACGTGTAGGTCCTTTCTGCCTACAGGCCGGGAGTATCTATGCCTCGGGTAGTGTACTCTCTCCTTTGCCCCCCTCACGACTTCTTTCCAGCAGTAATACCTGTTGTAATTAAGGGAGTAACATCACTGCATTACAATAAGCTGTTCACATTAGAATAATGTGCACATGCGCCATGGGATATGATTGACCTAAATCATCACTCATTGGTATGACATAGTATTTCCCAATAGATTCCTAATGGTATCTATTGGCGCTAGGATCTCTCACATCCTTCCTTTCTCGGTTAGACAAGGACAGATGTTGGAACATCCACTAGTGTGCAGAACCCCCTCATTCATGTATATAGAAGAATGTTGGAATTTGCCACATTCCTTACGATAATTGGCATTCCTTGCAAATATGAACAACTTTCCTGCATGCTGCACAATACATCCTGTATTCTACATTTTAGTTTCTTTTCGCTGTTGAGATATTCTCTCATACATTTGCATGTGCGGGGTAATATGATATTATATGCAAATGCAGTGAGAGATATGGTCACGTTTACTTTGCGACAAATAGGATGGCGTTAATGGTGCGGTGTCAGTACTATTTTATTCCCCGCACAATGGTTTCGTGATCAGCTGTGCTGAAGAATTTTCACTGTAATAATTGTTGTTCGCATACCCACTTTAACTCTAGGATATGCGCACATAAATTCGCGTTTTACATGTAACTTAGAACTTTAATGGAAACAATATTCTTTGAGCTATACTTTCTGCTCCTCTTACCATGAAATCGCAACAAAGAAGGTCCTGTCACGTAGATAAATTAAGCAATTCATACAATAGGAAATTCAAACAATCTCCATATTATTTACACACTTGAGAATACTAGGGAATATCCTCAAGTTCGTCCATTGATCCAAGTCCTAAGAGTATATCTCACGAACTTTACTTCTCTTAAAGCCATAGCTACCTCCTTCCATACCTTCATCCTAACGGTACGTCATTCCAGCTCAGCATAGCCTTTCAATAGGTTATGAGCCCGGGTTCGACGCAGCTCCTGCGACTCACTTCAAATACGCTCAACGCTTACATCATTAAAGATGCATACCTCTACCTCTGTTCACGTCGGCACCATCAATGCAACTGTACCAATTCTCACCGGTCGTTCCAACTTTCGTCGCTGGTACAACTCTTACATTGTAATTTTGCATGGTGCCCGATACTGGTCTGTGGTAAATGATGGCGTTGATAAGGAAACCCGTCCCGTTCATATGAAGGGTGAAAGCATTGAGGATTTCACCAAGCGGCTAGAAAAGTACGATGAACGAAACGACGCAGCCCACGCTGCACTTCTCGCTGGAGTCTCCGAAGATCTCCAGGATATAGTCAGCGCCTGCGTTTTGAAACCAGAATCTGCCCGTGTTGCCATGCGTTTATTGAAAGATAAATTCGACCATGAGACGACAACTTCCACTCTTCAGCTCTTCAACAATTTTTTTGAGTTAAAGATGGAAGAAGGAGATGATATTTCCGACCACATTTCGCGATTCGAAACAACATTCTCCCACATCCATTCCCGCTGTTCAGAATTGTCACGTCCAGAAGCCATCGCCTTAATGAACTTTCTCTCAGTTGAAGAATTTAAGGTCATGTGTCTCTTTCGCTCTCTTCCTCCCTCGATGTACAACATTGTCGATAACTTGTCAAGTAAAGAAAATTTATCATTTAGCGGGATTAATAAACATCTCCTAGATTATCAATTGAACAGATCAACTATACCTACATCGACGTCTAAAGCGTATCTTGTCGAATCTCAATATTCGCCAAAGATTTATGGAAAAGGAAAAGAAAAATTGAAAGAATGCACATGGTGTAAAAAGCATGGTGGTACATATCTGGGACATTTACACACCAATTGTCGGAAACTACAGACCCATCTTGAACAAACATCCAGAGCAAAGGGTAAAGGAAAAGGTTACAATGGAAAAGACAAGGCACATGTCGCCGTCAGGAATTCAGCTGTTCCTTCATATGATAAGTCTTACAGCAACACCGAAAAATATAAGGCCTTCATTGCTTCAACATCCTTCTCACCTCTACATTGGATTCTTGACTCAGGATGCTCTGCTCACATGACATCTCGAGAAGAACTACTCGCCTCTATAGTTCCTCATAAAGGCTTAGTCACTCTCGCAAATGGCATGGAGGTTCCCGTCAAGGGGTCAGGAACTTTACACTTAAACTTGCAAACAAGTACCGGCAGAAATATTTCGGCAACTATTCACAATG